AGTTATCTCACACACAGATATATGAATAAAGAATGAAAGAGATGTCTAAAACAGGACGAGGGAAGCCACTGCTGCAATGCTTATTACCATACATCGAGAGGGGGTGAAGAGGACCGTGGGTGGAGAAGGAGCTTTCTACTGATGAGCTGAATTGAATAGCAAGTAGAAACCAGTTCCATTATGCCAATTGGATTTCAATAGATGGGTACTGGGGTAGCACTGGGATCTCCTACTCCTCCTCTCCAGTGTGATCAGCGTAAACTCTGGCCTGCTGGCTGGTCTGGTACTTGTTTAATCAGGTTCGCTTGTACCTCCCAGAACCAGAGAATTACCAAGAAATATGTTTGTTTTCTGTTTATTTTGGTGTGCGGGACTCTGCGAGTGAAATATTAACTCCATACACCGAATTCAAAGTGCAGAGTGGAAAAAAATTACCTTTTTGGCATCTTAGAGGTCTTGGTGTGGATTTGTATTGCCTTTTTTATGATAAGGATTTGCTTTTCCTGAAGTAGTTGATTCTGCACATCCTTTAAGTCAGATATAGCAGTAGCATGTTTCTTTTACTTATCCATTCAGGGTTTGGGCGACTGGAGCCTATTCTAGTACGGAGAGAGGCAGGGTACTCTCAAAGACTTTACAGTTACTTTTTTATTTATCTTTATTTACTTTACTATAACTAATTTTACAATTAGCTTTTATTCTATTTTATTCATGTCAGTAGTTACACCTTTAAGTAATGGATTAGACCTCCGTTTGCCTGCTTAAAGATGCTCTGTTGGACTGAGATCTGGTGATCACCCCTCTGGCGCTCACTGTAATGCTCAAGAAAACAGTTTGAGATGATCTGAGCTCTGTGTCGTGGCACATTATCTGGCTCGAAGTAGCCATCAGAAGATGGGTACACTGTGGTCATAAAGCAGGGGCGGGCAATCTCAGTCCACGAGGGCCGGTGTCCCTGCAGGTTTTAGATCTCACCTTGGGTCAACACACCTGAATCACATGACACCAGCACTTAACTCAATCCTCCCTACAGAAAAGCCCTTCACTGGTATACATCAAGCCAGTCGATACGCTCCTCTAAAACCACAATTAATGCACTGATGGAAATTGATGGAAAGTGAAAATGTCCATTGTCTTGTGGACAAACCACATGCACTAAATAAATTGCACCTGTGACTTTTCATTATCAAGAACTCTTTCGTGTCTTTTCTTATGCAGCTAAAGTTTTGCTTCATTATGTTGAAATCCACCCCGCTGATCTGCACAACACAGAAACAGTTTGCGTGTAATTATGTATACCATGTAGAGAGCCGTCACCTTTCTGTGCCGCCGTGTTCAGTAGAGACAAAGGCGTCTATAGATAGGCTGAACTCAGAAGGCGAGATAATGACAGGACCAAACCAAACACATGTTCCCTGCTGGCAAGGTGACCCTTTTCTTGTAGAAGCAGTCGCTCAAGTGTGAGGAGAGCAGTTTGACATTAATTCCTGCTGCTGTTTAATTCATGGCAAACCCACTGTGTCCACTCCATCGGTCCACACATTTCTAACGCAAACGCACATCTGTGTCCACGCTCATCCACGCGTACCGTGCACTACTGCCAGTGTGTCGGGTTATCCAGGGGACACCTGTGTCCATAATACCTATGGGGGTCAT